TTCTAGGTTGTTCATTTTGGGAAGAAGTTTACTGCATAACTTTTTATCGATAACTTTTTCTTGTAATAATGCTCCCAATAATGTTTGTACTGCAGTTAAACTATTATGCAATGGACTCTTGTTATCAGAGAAAACTTCATAAGCATTTGTGGTCGTCATATATGCTGCTGCTTTGCGTAGGAAATCGTCCGTTTTTCCGATGTAGAAGACTTTACTTTTATCTGTGCGACGTACAATGACGTGAGGTTGTTTATCAATTAAACGTCGAATATTTTTCACTAAAGCATGTTCATATCGTGCACGAATATTTAAATGACCAGATAACTTTTTGACATGTAATTCATGAACAGTCGTTTTCAATTCAGAAAAAGCTTCTTGTACATGTTTATTCGAAGCAGACATACAATTATCTTGCAAACAATTGGTAACAGTATTGAATAACATTTCATATTGTTTCTGAATAATTTGTTCATTTGTTCGATGTAGAAATCGACTTTGACATGGTATGACATATTGAAGACCTTTTATAAACATAGCCATCTGAGGTGGTGTTAAATTCAATTGAACTTCGACAAATGGCGACGAAGCAGCGATGTTTGTATAAATAAAAGCCAAGCTCCGACGACGACGAATACAAGACTGATGTTGTTTCTTTATTCGTTGGGTGTCGTCGGAGCCACGTCGAAAAAAGACTTCAATTTGTTTTGAAGCATGGCATCCAAACGTGTTCGCAACGTTTGTATCCGTTCTTCAATTACATCATATAATTCTTTGGTGGCCAATTGTGATCTATGATTAGGATGATCGGATAGAAATTTTTGTTTCAATTCTGCTGCTTTCTTTATATGACCACGAATAGTATTGCCCATTGCGGCTAGTGTTAACACCATTATATCACATTTAAATTGCGTAATGGTTTTCGAACATCATGATGCTAAATTGGCACACTCGTCATCATCGATGACTGAAGAGTCAAGCTGAAATACGTTTTCATAGGATCTCTTGCCGTTCTTTCACTTTGAGCTCAACAGCTGCCGAGTGGCATATTTTTTTCGCTAGATGAATCTTAAAAAGAAATCAAGAGCCCAGATCGTGCTTGTTATATTGGATTACACTTACTTGCTCTTTACTAGGACGTAACGAATAAAATTTTGTAATGGCTTGCTGGTCATCATAATTGTGCTGTAACATGGCCTTTTTATAAATGAATTTATCTTTCAGTCGACGCAGACCGTTTTCAACACATTTATCCATCATTTCTGATATTTGACGGGCATCGATTGGATGTGAACATTGTTGCGCCTACGTTAGCAAGTCGAGAAAATGCTTCTGTAATTCCATACCGGTCTTGAGCATTTGACATTGTTCAATCAAACGCTTTAGTGGAGTGATCATTTGACATGTACAGTGATCTCTAGCAATACTTTTTGATATTTTCATCGGCCATGTACCATTTTTTGTTCCAAAATCATGAAGATCCTGCCATGCATCTTTTTGCAACAAGATGTAATAGGATGTGCTAATTAGATGCATCATCTTTCGAACCGATTGCAGTTTCTCGTTTGTATCTAAACTGCAAACGATTTTATGACTATGCTCGTTGGTATTCGATAGCGTTTCTTTTAATTTTTGATTGGAAATATTCGAATCAGAGGTAGGACGCAAGTACCTGTACTTGTACTTGTACTTCTAGTAGAGTACTTTATACTAGAGGTGGACCATTTCCGTTAATTTCCACTTAATTAAGTGATTAACGTATAAGGAACATCTTCTATTACTTCAGACGCAATTGTAGATTCATTCTGACTCCGCATCTATAGATTCATGAACGAAAACTCAAAGGTCCATGGTGGTTAATATCGCACAACCGGAGTAAAACCCTGCCTCCTTGAAAGGAAATAAACAGCCAATGCAGATCTCTGGAGGTCAAAGAAACATCCTTTTATAAAGCGCCCCTAGTCGATTTCCAGCGAAAATAAGCTTTTGAAAAAAAATCGCCGGTAGAATGATAGACCGTACTCGATTACCCCAACATTGGTACAGGTAACGAAGGGCTTCTCTTTGAGAATAGCGAAGAAAATGGGCAAATGAATCCTGTAAGCCCATTGGTCCATTTTTGTATCACTTCGGAGGTTGAAATACAGGTATAATGTACTCTACTAGAAGTACAAGTACTTGTACGTGTACTTGTCCTACCTCTGATTCGAATATTGCGGCATCACTGTTTTGAAACCATGCGCACTCAAAAAAAAAAATTAGTGCTCTACTGAACCCTCAAAAAAAGTTCCGTAGCATAATACCAAACTTTCAGAGTTCTTTAGGAAAATATAATAGTGTCGTACCGAACCTTGATGTCCTTGTATAGTTTGATATGAAACCCCATACGTTTTGCATTTTGCTATGGAACCTGTTTTCGGTATGCCGAACTTAAAAAAAGGTTTAGCAGTAGAAGGTTCTTCCCTCCGATACACGGGAAGATCCTTTAATGGTTCCGTAGAAATTTTTATTGCGTTTTTGTAATCGTGAACCTGTCTGAAGACTTTTTCGTAAGCGCGAAACTTTTTTTGAGGGTTCAGTAGAGCACTAATTTGTTTTAGAGTGCGGAGACTGAACACGTCGATTAGATGCATCCGCTCCTGTACCGCTTGCATCATTCGCCGATTCAACTGTTACTTCCACTTTCTTCGTCTTCTTGTTTTTTGAAGATTTTTGCGCTATAGATAGTTGACTCATCGATCGACTGACTGACAGTTGATCAGACACTGAACTAGTATCGAAATTTAAAAAAAGACAGCTAGAAGAAAATGGTATAACTTTTGATTGAGAAGTTATTTTGAACTGCGCTTTTCACCATTCAATAGAGGAGGATTGGGTGCAGATACCTATGCGGGAATGTCGTCATTCAAAGTATTTTGTCAAGTAGATTTTCGCCGACGAAATTTAGTATGCATTAGTGAATCTTTTTTAGGCCTTTTTTTCATGAGGTTGGTGCCCTGATATGCCCACTTTACGCTGGTATCGAAGAAATTTTCTCACTTTCCTTACTGGAAATACCAGAAATATTTCAACAGTGAAACTACACGTAAGACACTCCTCGCTAAAAAATGNATTCGAAGCATGTTAATGTTTATGTGTGCGTGTACATGTTGTCTCTTTATATAGTGTTCGATTTGCGTCAATATTAGAAAGGTGAAGAAAAACATTTATTACATTCACATGATTCAGACAGCATATCTTGAAGGTGTGGGTGTGGTGTGAGGGTGAGATAAACTGCCATGACCGGTTTCGAACCTACTAAAGTTCGTTATCAAATGGCTTAGAACTTAAAAATGACTAAAATCAAACATTTTCAGCTCAAAAAAGCCAGGGTGTGGGTGTGGATGAGTCAAAGCACGCCATTATCGCGATTTCATCCCGGGTAAAGGAATCGTCAGATGACTTTAGACTTTGTAGATTATCCTAATGACTCGACTGCTAGGTCAAATCATAGATGAATCCACTTAATCTACATAGTTCGACGACTAGTTTTCCGAAGAGAACGTAGTTGTTATAGTAGATATCATTATCGTAGTGGTGAGTTTGAAATGACGATGTAAAGGAATTCAATTAAAATAATCATTTCATGTGTCCACGAAAACATACAAGACATTTCAGTAGATGTATCCACAGAGACACGTTCAAATAAGTACGAGAAACTTATTCGAAAAGATCATTAAATCAAAGTAGGACTTGAACCCACATCTTCCGATAACCGGTCGGCTATTCTACCAATTGAACTATTCGATATTCACTTCAGTTAGTTAATAACTACATGTCAAGACATCTGGCTGAATATCTCGTAGTTATCAGGACAAACACGAAGATAAGATACATTTTAACGAATTCCTATTGCTACACGAGGACTTATAGATCTTCATTTAATACGTATGAAATCAGATGGTACAGCAAAACAGAACTTTCTATTCACGATATTAAAAAATATCAGAACAATAAAGTTACTATATCATCAAGTGTGTGGGTGAGGGTGTGGGTGAATTTAAGAAAGAAGAAATATTCCTAAGCTATCTATGACGCGTTTCGTCCTTGCTTAAGGAACTCATCAGATAGAATTTATGAGGAACCGTAGTATGAAAGGAAAAGAAGTAATAAGAGAGAAAATATAATGTAAGAGTCACGAAGAGATTAGAAGTTTTCGGCGAGGCATGTAATAGATCATGTCGTTGCCATAAGTATGTGTTGCTCAGAAGAAATTGACTATTTTCTTGATAAGTATATGAAGCTAATGATATTTTAATCTCAGAAGTGATGATAGTGACTGGGATAGGTCATGAAACACGATTGCTGGAACGATTATGGGATGTGAAGAGTTTTTAGATAAGAGAGAGAGGTGAGAAGAAGAGATGTGATCGCTTGGCAGAGAGGTGACCGTATTCAGTCAGGTCGTTCTGGCCAGAAGGACTTCTACCGCCACTGGGCAATACCTTCTTCACAGCATTTTGATATAGATAGCTATTTCAAAACCAGCGATTTGGAAGAATTAATGATTTGAAAAAAAAAGAATCAGGACACTACTCGAAGTGCAATGTTATGCTGAATTTGGTTTGTATAAGATCCCCAAAGAATACAAAGGGTATTGTCCATAAAAACAAAAGCCCTAAGTAAAGCATAATCGTACCCAAGGTGAATCGAAGTTGTAGAAGAGTGGTTGTGGCGATAGCTGTTTTGTTAAATGAATAAATGAATAGACTCTGAAGAAAACATTGATTTATATAGTAAGGGTGAGGACACCAGGAACGATAGGGCACTATGGACACTAGAACACATAAAACATCGGAACGTCAAAGACATGAAGAGTATGAAAGACATCAGGGCATTAAAGACATGAAAATAGATAAGACATTAGGACATATGAGAGATTAGGACATTAAGAACACTGAAGACACTATAACGCCAAGAACAATAAAGACAGCGAAAACAACGAGGACATCGAAGACACGAGAATACTGAAAACACCAGAACACTGAATACACTCAGGACAATAAGGACACTAGAACACCGACGTCGCTAGAACACTGAAGACGCCGGGGCATCGGGACACCGAAGACACTGAGAAAACTGAAGACACTAAAGAGATCATATAACACATTCGACATTAGAACACCGAAACATGAAGACACTGGGAACGACAAGGATATGATGATTGTAGGACACTGAGACGATAAATAAGGTCATTTTGTTTCGTTGGCGAAGTTTTGAATAATGGTTGACTTTTTATTTCTCAGTATAACTCTCATAATTTCTCTGTCTTCTGTGTTAATTCCCAGATAAATATGTGAGACTTTTAGAAGTGTGATCAATTGCTTGTTGATATCTCTTGAATGTAAGTTTGTATGGAATAATTTGAAAAAGAGAGAAAAATCTATCAGTATTTTTTTCTAGATGAACAAATCAAAGTCATTGTACATGAAATTCAAGGCAACAATGAATAATGCAATAGTGAAAAGAAATTAAAGTTCGTTTTACCAAAGAAAAATATTTTCCTTATTGTCCATCTGTGTGAATTGTTGGTCATGTGCTTCCTGTTGAAGTTGAATGGCAAACACACGAATGGCTTCCATTTCATTGACTCGTTCTCTTTCGTCATGCAATCGGACTATTGGTTCCAATTTATTAAAGTCTTCGAAATCATCCAACAACTGTTGTTCCCATTGTTGCTTATGGTCCATTGTATCGACTGTTTTCTTGTTCGTAGACTTCTTTTAACGAATATTTGTGCTCTTCGCTCATGATGTCATCCCATGCATCATTAGTTGAACCAACTATGTACACAGATGATTACTATTGGCTTGGTTTTACTATGGATGATATCAATCGTTTATGTGATATTTGTTTTTGTTCCCTCGACTGAAAGGAGGGTCATTTTAAAAAAAAGTTTGTTTGTTTGTCTGTCTGTTTGTGTCAGGGTCAAAGGTCAAAGGTCAAAGGTCAAAAAAACATTTTTTTGAAAATGCTCAAAACTTCATCAAACATCGTTTGGGAGGGGTGTTGAGGCTAGATGTTGGTATGGGATACGTGACGGGGTCAAAATAACTCTGTAGAAGATGAATTCAAAGGCGCACCAAACATTCGTTCAAGATATGGCATAGGTCGTTAAAGACTATTCTCTATCTGACGCAGAAAAGATCAGATACAATAACTTGGTCGCCTGTATGATTCTTTGTATGTTTCCGCTTCACTGCTTGCTACAAGAATTAGGCAAATGTATACAAGTGATTTCCCTGTAACAGTCCGTCGAGAAAATCGGTGACGATTGATTATAAATGTGGATCTAATTTTGTTCACCATTTTGTCTGTGCTTTGCTCTTTACTCAAGTAAATAGATTTTCAAATATTTATAAGAAAATGTCGTCTAGGAATTTTTATGGGAAGCGTAAAATTTCTGATAATATAACTATCCATACTCATGTATGAAGTACGCAAAGGCATAGAAAATGATGAATCTTAGCTATAGAAGTCACAATGTAGTTACATTGTTTGTTACTGCAAATCCTAAAGAGAACTATACTCCTTGTATATCTCTTGATCATTTGAGAGTCAAGACTATAAGTAATCTGCTTAAAACTGATGATGTAGTGCAATAATTTCTATTTTAAAATTATGGTGGGATACCGAAATTTTAACAAAGAAACGAGCGATCTTTAACTTTTCCTACAGTATTCTACTGCTCCGATTTGAAGAAAGTCAATAATCAGTACTGAAGGCGAAGGAAATTTTTGTTCTTGGCTAATTTCTACACTTTTCTGTGGCAGCGGCGTCCTTTTCTAGTTCACAATAAATACTACCCAATGAGACCCCAAGACACTGTCCAATTAGAAAAGAATATATGCTTAGTTTTTTTTCAAGTTTTCTCCATAGTAGAAGCGTGCTTAACTATTACACGAACAGATATGATTAAAGTCATATTTGTAGAAAAACGAACGAATTACTCTTGTTCGACATCTCTTATATATGCTCGATTGTAATGCAATAAATAAATTTTTTGAAGCTACTCCGTTCTCCAACGCCATCTATTATTGTTATGAATAGGAATTTTTTCTAATGGCTAACATGTTACCCCTATATCTGACCACGTCATGTCTGAGTGAGTCATCAAATGAGAAAGAGAACGGAAAGGAAAAGAAAGACGTAGTGCTATCTCTTTTACGTGACGAGAACAGGATATTAGTGAGTGAACTTCATAGACAACAAAAAGATACCGAAAGGAAACACGTGATGAATGAAGAGTTAGATATGGTTATAGTCATTAATCAATGGGATTGACCGGAAGTAGGCTAGACTAAACAAAAGATAAAGCGATATGAATCATGCATCACTGGTGTGAATCATTCTCATGTTGAACTATAAATAGCGAAGCAATTCATGTATTCACTCATTCGACGTCTTCTCTTCCTACGGTCAACATCAACAGCGTTACTTTCACGATACAATGCGTCTCGCCATGTCTTTTTTTTATACATCGTCTATCCGATCAAAAACATGGAACGTACCGTATGATTTATCATCGTTGAATTGCCATAAAGTATTTTGAGAAATACAGACAACATCAATAAACATAACATAATCAAATTGTATAACTATATATGAAGGTATTTAGAAACGATCCGTTGTGGAATCCGACCCTTTTAGGGACTTTGCTAAATAACAATATACGCTTAGTCTAATTGAATGATGTTGAGAATGAGTGCATAAAAATATTGATAGATATTCGATTGAAATTTCAGCACCTTTGATCAATTGATCACACGGTTTAGAAGACAGTTCTTTTGCCGTATATAGAGCAACTGAACTTATTCTATCGGTATGACGAGATGTGATAAAACAACACAGAAATTTTTCGAATAGGAACTCTAAATAGGTCCATATTTTCAACCAAAATGCATAGAAGCTATTCCGACTTTAATTTTGCGAAACAATAACGGAATCAAACTCAAACGATCGAGAAAAAGAGGTATCGAACTATCAGTTTAAAAAGATCAATGGAAGAAAAATATCTGTACAAGGTTCATTGATGGTCAACTCTATAATAATAACATGTTCAAGAGCATCATGATCATTGAAAATTTTTAGAAGTTAGTCAGTTTGATTATAAGAAAAAAAGGAAATATATGGTGAATTTCATCTTATAAAAGTATCATATAGTTGAAAAATTATTAGCAACAAAAAATTCAATTACAACTTCTATACAAGTACTTCATCAATCAAGAAAAAGTGTGAGCTCATCCATATTCATACTTAAAATAAACGAAATATCAGCACAAACATCTATCGTACATGCATAATCATTTTTCAGGACAAGATAAGAAATAGAATGGGGAATAATCTTTATATTCAAACATAATCGTTCATTTCTTTAACATTCGATCTACTGTTCATCAATCCCAAATGAGATCAACCAGTAAGATTAAAAAAAACTCATTCAAAAACATCAGAAACCGAAAATAATTCATGTTCTAAGATTATGGTTGATATTATATCAAATAAAGACATATATATATATATAGTTGAACNTCAATGAACCTTATACAGATATTTTTCTTCTATTGATCTTTTTAAACTGATAGTTCGATACCTCTTTTTCTCGATCGTTTGAGTTTGATTCCGTTATTGTTTCGCAAAATTAAAGTCGGAATAGCTTCTATGCATTTTGGTTAAAAATATGGACCTATTTAGAGTTCATATTCGAAAAATTTCGATGTTGTTTTATCACATCTCGTCATACCGATAGAATAAGTTCAGTTGCTCTGTATACGGCAGTAGAACTGTCTTCTAAACCGTGTGATCAATTGATCGAAGGCGCTGAAATTTCAACCGAATATCTATCAATATTTCTATGCGCTCATTCTCAACATCATTCAATTAGACTAAGCGTATATTGTTATTTAGCAAAGTCCCTAAAAAGGGTCGGATTCCACAACGGATCGTTTCTAAATACATTTATATATAGTTATACAATTTGATTATGTTATGTTTATTGATGTTGTCCGTATTTCTCAAAATAGTTTATGGCAATTCAACGATGATAAATCATACGGTATGTTCCATGTTTTTGATCCGATAGACGATGTATAAAAAAAGAAATGGCGAGATGCATTGTATCGTGAAAGTAACGCTGTTGATGTTGATCGTAGGAAGAGAAGACGTCGAATGAGTGAATACATGAACTGCTTCGCTATTTATAGTTCAACATGAGAATGATTCACACCAGTGATGTATGATTCATATCGCTTTATCTTTTATTTAGTGTAGCCTACTTCCGGTCAATCCCATTGATTAATGACTATAACCATATCTAACTTTTCATTCATCACGTGTTTCCTTTCGGTATCTTTTTGTTGTCTATGAAGTTCACTCACTAATATCCTGTTTTCGTCACGTAAAAGAGATAGCACTACGTCTTTCTTTTCCTTTCTGTTATCTTTCTCATATGATAACTCACTCAGACATGACGTGGTCAGATATAGGGGTAACATGTTAGCCATTAGAAAAAAATCCTATTCCTAACAATAATAGATGGCGTTGGAGAACGGAGTAGCTTCAAAAAATGTATGTATCGCATTACAATCGAGCATATATAAGAGATGTCGAACAAGAGTAATTCGTTCGTTTTTCTACAAATATGACTTTAATCATATCTATTTGTGAATGGTTAAGCACGCTTCTACTATGGAGAAAACTTGAAAAAAAAAACTAAGCATATATTCTTTCCTAATTGGACAGTATTTATTGTGAACTAGAAAAGGACGCCGTAGCCACAGAAAAGTGTAGAAATTAGCCAAGAACAAAAATTTCCTTCGCCTTCGNTATTATTTTGCTTGTTACAGATGCTTTTGTTGTGAAAATAGTGTGCTTCTGATCATTTAATAAATAAGACAAGATAGATTATAATGCAGAATAGTTTGGGTGGTTTGATCACCACTTATGATTGTAATAGTTGGTGCAAAAGAGTCGAAATAGAGATGAGAGGTAATGCGGTCATTGCGGCGCAGTTGTGCGTAACTGCGACTTTTTTGTCGCAACTGCGCGCAGTTGCGTCGCAATCTGATCGCAATAGCAAACATGGGCAAACATTATTTGAATTACTTTATTATTGGGCTCGAGAAGACGACTTTATGAAGAAATTAGAGCACGAATTAGAAATAAGATCAGATCATACTGTTATTGATTGGCGTAATTTTTGTCGGGACGTATGTGCTACTTATTATATCAATAATCCACAACAAGTTGGAGGTAAATTGACTTAAAATAATAATAATCATAATAATCTAGTAATTGTTTAGGTGTAGGCCATATTGTTCAGATTGACGAAAGCTGTTTCGGAAAACGAAAATATAATCGTGGACGTGTTATGGAATACCAGCGATGGGTCTTCGGAGGAATTGATACAACAACAAACAAATGTTTTATGGTTCTTGTTGAACAGCGAGATCGAGCAACTTTGATTCCTATAATAGAACAATTTATTTTACCAGGTACTTAACACTCTGATCACATAATTTTTGAATGTAACTTTATGTTATAGGTTCGATAATCCATTCAGATGGATGGAAAGCATACAATTCACTCAGAAATTATTCCAACTATACTTATGCTTCGGTTAATCATTCTAAATTTTTTATCGATCCAGTTACTGGCGTGCATACTCAGAGTATCGAGAATACTTGGATGAGGGTGAAACGTAAACAAAAGAAACAAGGTAGAATGTGTAGATCGTTACTTCCTACTTATCGTGAAGAATTTGTATGGCGTGAAGATTTTGGTGATAAACCGTTAAAAAATATTATATTACAAATCAGATCTATTTATCCTGTACAATGATTCTCTTATGTGTCTGTTTTTTTTCTAATAAACTTCTGTTCTCTTATGACATCTGTTTCTCTTAATGTCTTATTTCATGATACATTGGATGGAGTGATGCACCAATAGAATTTTTTTCCGTTCTGTTATATATATATGTGCATGACAAAGAAGCGGTCGTTAAACTGCAGTTGTACCGTATTTTTTGATAAATATTGATAATTTATTGAAGAAAAGTGGTAAAGTTATATTTAAATAGAACAGAGAACAGTAAAAGACTGTGTTTAGATTTATTTTTATCGAACACCCTCCAGTATGATCACCCCGTTATTCTGAACATTTCCGGTGGAATCGGCGATGTTCAGATAAGCGAGGTTCTACTGTACTAGATTCGGCTATCTGATCTGATTTTTCTAACAACGTCGCCATTAAAAGTTATATATTTATTATATCTTTCATTACGGAGAAATTATATACTACCGTTTCTTTGTAAGAGTCTACGGGGAAAAATAAAATATACCTTAAGATTCAGCTCGTCGAGCTCTACAAACTGAAATATATCCCATTAAAAACTGCAAGAATCACACCTGAGGACCTTCCCTCGTTAGTCTATGAATATATATACAATTTTCACCCTTACCCTCTTCTTGTAATTTCAAGTTGAAAATTTTTGAAAAAACATACAAAATAAAAGTATGTTTTCAATGATAAGGAGAAAAGTGTATTATCATTTGATTTAAATAAATATTCTGTTTTTTTATTTCAAGTTCTCAAAACAACGATATTATTCAATTTTAATATTTAAAAATGAATCGTTTTGGTGATATTGATTATTCATTGACGAGACTTCCACCTGTTTATGGTTATCATGTTCAACAATTGGTTTCATTAGAAAAATCATTAGAATTACTTCAATCACAAATCAATGGTTTAAATCATTTTATTAAAGTTGCAAAACAACGTTGTTATTATCCAAATGACTATGGATTAACACATGATGAATCAGCTTCAATTTATGTTTATACAATGGAATGGGGTGATGAAAGTTTATATCGTCTTCTAAATAAAAGTTTACGTGATCAAAATCGAAATGCATTAACAATTTGGTTTCCATATTTAAAATTATTTGATACAGCTTTAGATAAATTACCAAATTTTAAAGGAAATGTTTGGAGAGGAGTTTTAAATGATATTGGAAAGAATTTTAAAAAAGATGAAAAATTCACATGGTGGAGTTTTAATTCTTGTTCATCTTCAATTAATATTATTAAAGATTTTCTTAAAAATGAAATAAATTCAACAATATTTCTTATTGAAATAACAAATGGAAAGAATATTTCAGGTTTTACTGATCAAGAAGAAGAAAATGAAATTATTTTAAAAATGGGAACTGATTTTTATGTTAAAGAGGATGTTTTAGAACATCCAAAAGGATCATTTCATGTTCATTTAATTCAAATTCATTTCGATGATGAACAATCTTTAGCATCTGCAATGAATCATTTACAAATTCAAATGATGAAAAAAGGTTTGTTAAACAAATAAATATTTGAGATTGATTAATGGAGAATTTGTTTTGTTTTTCTTTTCAAAGAAATTCAATTGAAAAAATGGAAACAAAATGCGAAAATTGTCGCTGGGGGAAACGGAGATGGAAAGAAATTAAATCAACTCAGTGGATCTCAAGGAATTTATGTTGATAAAAATCAAAATATTTTTATTGCCGATTATGAGAATGATCGAATAATTCAATGGAGAAGAAATGAAAATGAAGGAATAATTGTTGCAGATGGAAATGGAAAAGGAAATAGAATTGATCAATTGAATTATCCAATAGATATGATTGTTGATGAAGAAAATAATTCAGTGATCATTGCTGATACAGGAAACAAACGAGTGATGAAATGGTTATTCAATCAAAATCAACAAGAAATTCTTATTGAAAATATTCTTTGTTCGGGTTTAACAAAAGATAAACATGGATTTATTTATGTTTCTGATTATGAAAAGAATGAAGTGAGAAAATGGAAAATTGGAGGAAAAAAAGGAAAAAAAGGAATATTAGTGGCTGGGGGAAATGGAAAAGGAAATCAACGAAATCGATTGAACTCTCCTACTTTCATATTTGTTGATAATGATCAATCGATTTATGTTTCAGATCTTGGAAATCATCGTGTGATGAAATGGAGAAAAGATGCTCGAGAAGGAATTGTTGTTGCTGGTGGAAATGGTAAAGGAAATGATCTCAGTCAACTGTCTTATCCTACAGGAATAATTGTTGATGATTTTGGACGAATTTATGTTGCAGATCAGTGGAATGATCGAATAATGCGTTGGAGTGACGAGAGAAGAGAAGGTGAAATAATTGTTGGTGGAAATGGAAGAGGAAATGAATTAAATCAATTGTTTTATCCTAAAGGTTTATCATTTGATGTTGAAGGAAATATTTATGTTTCAGATTGTGGAAATAATCGAATCTTAAGATTTGATTTAATTTCTTCATGAAAACAAAATTCTTTTCATTTTTTTTCTTTTAATTTTGAAATACAAAAAGAGAAGTTTTTTGTAACATTTCATGAAAAAATCCAATTGAAGAAAATCTTTTGATTTTCTAATTTATTTAAAATCTTTCTAAAATATCCGATTTCAATTTAAATTCTGACAGGAAAATACTAAAAGAAGAATGCGAATGTGAACGAGAGAAATATCCGTGTTGATAATCTTCAAGATAAATCAATTCAATTCAAAATTTACATTGAACAATGTTATAAAATATAAATACGAAAAATATTAGATTTCATTTATTATTTTAGAATATTTTTATAAAAAAGAAATAAAATGCAAAAATCAATCATCCTTCTTTTATTATCAAATTCACAATTTCGACAAAGATAATCGTGTACAAATAGATATAAATACTTCATTTAGAAGAACAAAACAACAAGGAATTAGTCAACCATCACGTCGATAAACTTTGTTTTTTGTTTATAAATTTTCATTCTATTCTAACAGAAATTCAAGAGAAAAGGGTAAGTTTGTTTTCAGTGATAAGAAGAAAAGAAGAAGAAGAAGAGAAAAGTGTATTGTTATCATTTGATTTAAATAAATATTCTTTTCTTTTATTTCAAATTCTCAAAACAAAGATATTTATTCAATTTTATATAGGAAAATTATCTTTAAAAAAAATCACGATTTTCTTTTCAAATTTGTTATATGGAATTCGTGGGAAAATGTAAATATTTTCCTAAGTCTTCAACCAAATGGAAGGGAAAGAACATATAGCAATGAAAAGATCATTTATGAAGATAATCTCAGCATACTTTTCCTCAATACAAGATCAGTTAGCTATGATGAAGTGCTTTATTATTGTGTTTTAGTAATGGTTCAACAACAAAAGAGAATTTATTTCATCAGAATAATATTCCATTATGTATCAACGATGTTTCAATTGATAAATATTCTCGTAGAGTATTGCATCATATCTATGAACAACAAATATTTGTGCGTATCTTATTTATATAACGAAGAAAAAGTATGCTGAGATCATGTTCATAAATGACCTTTTTACTGCTACCTCTTCTCTCCTTTCCATTTGGTTGAAAAATTAGGAAAATATTCAAATATTTCCGTCAACTCTCCTAACTTTCTGGACATTCAATATAAACATAAAACTTACTTAGTCGTCTTTCATATAAGAATATTTTTCTGAATTTTAATTATTTAAAAATGAATCGTTTTATTGATATTGATTATTCATTAAAGAGGCTTCCAAGTGATGAAAATCGATAAGTATTAGATATTTGGTTTTCTTATTTGAAATTATTTGATACAATTTTGGATAAATTACCAACAGTAAAAAGAAGTGAAGAAGTTTTCTTGAAAATCAACAAAATTGTGCACTTTTTATTAAATTACCAATGTGTCTCTGACGACAAAATCATTGTGTAACGAAAAATAGAGATGCATTTATTTTCTTGTGATTAAAATACCAAACTGGAGGAGTAGCATCACCGCGATCTTCAGTTAGATATCTCTATATATAAAGAAGAAAGTTTGTCTGTTTGTTTGTTCGCTATGCATTCAGTCCCTGTACTAGCTATCAGCGTGAAACTTTCCACGATGCTTCCTGAGACCCAGAGGAAGGCCGACATCTACTTTGTTCCGAGAACAAATGACCCAGGCGTTTGTTACAGGCAATCTATGAAACTGACCAATAGGATTGCGAGATGTGAAAAATTGCAGCGGGTCGGTAGCAAAGGCGGCCGAAGGTCGTCTGAGCGCTCATAGACAACAATCCACATGCTCTACCTGTGTACGGGTGTTCTGTGCATGCTACAAGCAACCGGCGAAGCTGACGAATAGGATTGCAGGATTTCAAAAGATTAAGATAAATCTTGAGGGTGAATGAAAAGGATATAAGGCATGAAATAAGATGACAGTGAGAATGAGGTCGATGAGTGACCAGCTGGAATTTAGAATGAATATCAGAGAAAGAGACAATTGTAACAATTTCTGANATGCAAGGGTACATCAATAAGATGATTGCAAACAATTCCGAACAATATGGTGTACCTTCGGACGAGAATCGATATCATATAGTGCCTATGCGAGTGGCCGATGTTGATGATGGTCATGGAAATACGAGTGCTCTTTACCTAATCGGATTTTGGAATGGTCAAGCAATCTACAGAACTACTCATACAGTAGCTCATCGTAAGAAAAATATCTATACCCGAGCAATTTCAATCTTTCTGTATAGACATGGAAGGCAATCAGCTTGGTCAATATGAAATACACTGGCCACCAGTATTTCCCGACGTCTGGATACCGGAATGCGAAGTTCTACAAATCGACATCAGCATTCGTGACTGGGTATTTAGAAAATTCTAATGCAATATATACACAGGAGTGTATTTAATTCATTATAGTTCGCACCGGTCATATTACCTCCAACGGATGATAATGATGATGACCTTGATGATATAGAAGAACAGGACGGATACGACGACGAAGAAGAAGAACGAGAACAAGAAGAAATTGAATCTACATTATCCTACCTCAATTCAGTAGATCTTGAATGGGCCACTGTAGATGCTGATGATTGCCATTAGATTTTCATTCAAGTCATTCAAACAATATTTCTTCCTTTTCTTTTCTTTTCTTTTCTTTTAACAGTAGTCTTGAATTTAGAAATTTCATACTACTTAACGTTTACAGTGCTCAAATTACTATACTAGATAATTAGAATGAGTGTCAATCGATATGGGAAAACATAAGACTTTTCGTTTAATTATAGGAACTATAAGAAAAATGAAAAAAAGTTCTCAAACTTAGAAAATAATTTATAATGCGATATTTCTTTGTTACTTCTAATGATGTATTGGCTATTGCGAGGATCTCTTGATATTTCAATAGTTATATCTCGTATTTTGCAAGTGATTAATGCTGAAGTCTTCACAAAAATAAATTGATCAATACCGCGTCAAAACTCAGCTAATTAAAACTATTGTTTGTAAGCCTCCGTAGAAAAAATCAGAAAAAAATCATTGTTTATATCTGAATTTAAGTTTAGTTTATTTAACAGTGACTTCAAAATTTATTTCTATCAATAGAAATTTGGTGTATTTTGGTATTATCTGAATGCAAATTAGGTTATGCATTGATAGATATATTCGAAAATTTCAACTTCCGATTTTTGAAAGGCCTGAGCGTGAGCATTGTCAGAAATGGAAGATTATACCCCATCATAATTCGATTTTCTTGTAGGAAAGTGAAAAAGGTAATGAACTGAAACTCTTCGAATCAATGATAATTGAATTTAGAACATTTCAATTTCTCACTAGTGTAATGTTTCAATTCAAAAATCGAATTATAATCTGATATGATGGGATATCTTACAATTTTCTACCGTACAACAACGGCTATACCAGTCGAAATAGGTGCGTAGAATAAGATGTGGCGTAAAAGTAAAGATAGAGTTGATTGAGTGTTGTTTAGGATAAAGTTAAAATTAAGAACAGAAGTAGATAGTGCAGAATAAGCATAGGTATAGACAGTTAAGGATAAGGCTAAGGGCATAGAAGTGGCAGGTAAAAGACAACTGTAAGTAGTTAGATATAGAACCAATAGATAGTTGAAGGTAAAGCGACTAAAATGAGCTGTTCTCTGGAAGGCTAGAACCATTTTTAGGGAAATCGAAAAAAGTTTCGAATAAAACCATATTGTGCTCGAACCTTAAAAGGTTCTGAAAATGGTATCCAAATCTAGAACCTTTTAGGGTTCAGTATGACGCCTATTTTTACAGAGAAATATAGTGGACTGAAACAGGACTTGTTACTATGAGAGATTCTTTAAAGTCATTAGGTTAACAGGTTATATCTACACCACACCGAGATAAGAAACACTTTCTATAGCGAGAAGATCATATATTTGATGTATCTATACCACGTTGGTGTTCATCGATGTTTTGCTGCTCTAATCAGCAGTTTAGATCAGCTCTCAGTCTGTTACAGAACACGTCTATGTATCTGTACATTTCACTTTGATGAAGAAAAAAAGAAAATAACTGATCACGTATGCTTTGCTTATTTATTCGAACGATGCACAGATAATACTTGTTTTTTTTCTGCATACATTAATTATACATATCTTACTCATTAAGAGAGAGAGAGAACAGAAGAATGCGGAGTACAGAACTTTTTTTGCGCTTTACTAAGGTGAGTGAAAATAGAGCACAATATTATGAGTACAAGTCAAAGTAATATGGGCCAAAGCAAAACTTAAAGAAATAGACCGACCTGTAAAACCTGCATGTCTTTCATTAGCGTAAGAGAGTAAAACATTAATAATTTGTTTTATTCTTACGCAGATATGTCATTAATCAAGACTTCGCCACACGAATCATCATTCTTCCTCAATATCACCATTTTAAATATAGTGGACTGAAATAGAAATTGCTACCACCAGAGATTTTTAAAAAGTCAATAAGGTAACAGGTTATATATACGTCACGCTGCGATCATGCACATTTTCTACAACGAGACCATCATCTCTATATATAAAGAAGAAAGTTTGTCTGTTTGTTTGTTCGCTATGCATTCAGTCCCTGTAATAGCTATCGGTGTGAAACTTTCCACGATGCTTCCTGAGACCTAGAGGAAGGCCGACATCTACTTTGTTCCGAGAACAAATGACCCAGGCGTTTGTTACAGGCAATGTATGAAACTGACCAATAGGATTGCGAGATGTGAAAAATTGCAGCGGGTCGGTAGCGAAGGCGGCCGAAGGCCGTCTGAGCGCTCATACACAACAATCCACATGCTCTACCTGTGTACAGGTGTTCTGTGCATGCTACAAGCAACCGGCGAAGCTGACGAATAGGATTGCAGGATTTCAAAAGATTAAGATAAATCTTGAGGGTGAATGAAAAGGATATAAGGCATAAAATAAGATGAGAGTGAGAATGAGGTCGATGAATGACCAGCTGGAATTTAGAATGAATATCAGAGAAAGAGACAATTGTAACAATTTCTGATGCAGAAATTAGCTTCGGTAACTCTTTTGGATTAAGAGATATAACCGAAACTGCCGTTTTGTGCGATCCACGGCGGGAAAGATAAGGACCACTAGCGTATAAATTTGAATTGTACTGCTGTTTCTATATGCTGCAGGTTTTGAATAGGTAAGATTTTCGACATAGACATCTCTTATTTGCAGCGGGTACTCCGCTAGTTAACTATACACTACATTGGACACAAGTTTATATAGAAGAGCGATGACCGATGTATGAATAGAACGAATACCTACCATTTGTCATGAGGTCAAAGCATTTAGCTTTATTCTGACCCAGGGGTGTCAGCATTCCTCGTTCTCGTGCGTTTCCTAGGAATGGAATGAAACACACATTCCGTACTGAATCGTTATTACTTTTTGGCATACTCTAAGCGTATTTAAGTGCGTATACACTTGTATTCATGATGTTCCCGAAGCGTTACTATGCGCTCTCCGTTCCCAAAATCGAGAACGCATCTTATTTCAAGGTATGGAACCTGAGCATGACACTTTGATCATATTCCTCTGTAGAAAAAGATAAAATGCGTTCCCGGGAACGCAATGAAACTTGACATTCTATATAAGAATCCTACCTGTGTTCCTGAGCTTTGAAAATGAGTATTTAACATGCGTTCTCATTGAAAGAACGGAGAACGCACCCTGTTTCTCATGTTCATAGGAATAAAACTGAGTGGCAACCGTTTTACTATGATCTTTTCCAATAAAAATAGGAATCTGAGTAGCGTTCCCGTTCTTGAGAATGGAATGCCGATGCGACACCCCTACCTTTGGCTTAATTATCTTTTGGATTTATTTTGTCAAGATATTCATTTTTTATTTTCGTTTATATTTATCAAAAGAAACACGTTTTTGTATATTCATTCGCGTTAGAATATATTATCTATCTTTATTAAGTCAGTTTTTTCTTCAAAATGATATTTTATATGGATAAATAATAAAAGAAGCTTAATTTACAGATTGAACTAGTGAAGTATGAATAATATATAATGTTCATTTATCATATTTATTGAACTATAAGTTCCGTATATCAAATTTACTTTAGGAATTATTCTACCTTTGTTTTTTAAGGACTCTACTACATTGTTGGAAGAATTTCCCTGTGTACCAATATAATTAGTCACTGGGATGCATTAATCATCTAAAAGTTATTTCATTATTAAAAAATTAATATAGATGTTGAAACTTAATCATAACCGGAGTGTCATACGCATTTATTCATGTGTAAAATATAAGCAACTGAGCTCTCTCTTCGTATTTCTTGCACATTTCTTAATCTAAGAGCATGTATACAGTGTCATTGTTTTTTACGAGCTATAAACAATCTAACTTTCCATGGTACGAACGCGGACCTCTATTGTACCGGAACTTCAAAACCGAAGCCTGCCACCGATCTCGAACCCAATCCCGAACCCGAACCCGAAACCGAACCCGAGCAGTTGGTTCCGAACTCCGAGCAGTTCGTTCTGAACTCCGAGCAGACGTTCGGGTTCGCTGCATGCTTAGGATCGGCGATGAAGAAGACCACCAACGTTCTTGGAAAGTAGCGTGATCAACCCAGAGTGTGGTCCATTGATGCTCGAACGGAAATGGTCCTGGGAACAGAATGCCCAATCGATAGTTCCATCGTCGGACAAATTCGTCTGAATAAATACCGGAAAATCTAAAAGTAAAACTATGCAGCTTTGGTAAATACGTTTGCAATAATGGTAAATTATTCAGCTCCATTGTGTTGATTTTTAAATGTTCAATAGATGGAAAGAATTTGGTAAGAAAAACGATATGTTTTTCTTGAAATGAATGCACAGCAAAAGACATATCCAGTCGTTTAACAGCGGTGTATACGTTTTTTATAGCAGAATGTTTATTAAATACTTGGCGAAAATGAATCATAAGTGAAGATACATTTTTAGCATATGTTAGTAGCGAGTTGATTTCATCAGTCATTGTTTGCAAATGCGGGATTCGTAATTCGGTTAGACGTAAGAGATCAATGTGAGTGGTGATCCATTGAAATAAGGACGAATTAAGATTACTCACTGTAAGGCGTTTTATATTAGTGAAGAAGTATTGTGCTGAGAGCAATTCAGATTCACCGTCAAGATCTAAACTGATTATCTTCTTCAAAAGAATACGACTATCTTTTTCACAACGTTGAGGTATAATCGTTAAACAGCAATTATATGTCGAGTTAAGCATGATTCTGTTCTCATCAAGATCTTTATATACCACTATATAGACATTAAAATTTTTCCTTTCGATCCAAAATGGCGTTTGAAATAACGATAGAATGTGACTAGGATAACGTTTCTCTAAATAACATTTACTTGTCGTCAGAGAAAACCAATTTAAAAATAATAGTTCTGCTTGAATGCACATTTGCCAAGTATACGCATCAAGAAATTGAGCATGTATATCGGTTATTTCTAGATGACGTAAGTGAGGCATTAGATGGAAATAAAAGACGAGCATATCAAGTGTAATTAAATCGTAATTGTCATGAAAGGTTAAAATTAATATTTTAAGTTTTGTTAATGGTTGAATATCGGATGGTTTGTCTACGATACTTTGACGAGAGGTTGATCGACTGTGAACAACTACCACATTCAAATAATAAAGATGTTAGGAACAATTCAAAATAATTTTTAAAGTATTCCATGTATAACCAGGACTTTGAATCGTCAGATGTTCAATATTCAGTGGAATTAATTGAAGAAATTCCCAACTGTATGCATCCATATCAATTTCGAAAAAAATTTGTCGAATTGAAGGTAAAGTGAACATCCCTTGAATCAAATGATTACCGTGAAATATCATATTTGTGTTCTTTCCTTTAAATAACAATGTATGAATATTTCTTTCAAATAAAGATCGCAGTGCCTTTTTCATAGACACGTGTTCAACAGTATCGCCATCAACATTCAAACAAATTTGACGAAGTTGTTTGAATTGATTAAACGTCGGAAAGACCGATAGAAAAGCATTGATTCGACCTGGTGCATCACATTCGGATAAATTTAAACTTTGAATACTTTCATAATCTGATATATAGTCTAGACAAAGGTGAAAATTACTTTTGCTAATACTTTCAAAATCAAAACGGATTGGTCGACATTCATCTATGAGTGTATCGAATCGATAATTTAAATGATTACGAAAAGCAATCAATATATCGACTCCATTAAGATAATTCTCTAAAAGATCGATAAGTATCTCATTTGCAAGAGATTCCAGCTTGGATTTTGACATTATTTGAGCTTGAAGCAATTTCAATTTGACACGTTTATATGCAGCCTATAGTGCTTAAAAAAGTCTATGGACTTTATTTTTACTGTTTTCACCAAGCAAAATAATAGAATGAAAAAAAAAGGTTTTTTTTCCTGTGTTATTTAGTGACGTTTTCCTAAAATGAGAGACGAGAAATCTTTATTATTGTTTTTCTAACGATTGACTATATATACCATCAAAAGCTCACTGCTTTAAATTGAACAAGAATCAGTCATGACTCGCAAATAACCAAATGATTCAATAAAAAAAGCACGTATTTTCCAAAAGTTACATTTGATGTGTGCAAATAGCACAAATTTTTATTAGTTTTAGCAAACGTTGAATATGATTTCTATGCAAAGATTTCATATTAGGGTGAGGATATTTACAGTTAGAATATTTACAGTTAGGATATTTACAGTTAGAATATTTACAGTTAGGATATTTACAGAAAAATGGGAAGCTTGCGGAGCGGCGAGTCGTGAGTGGCCGCTCACGACGAGCTGCTCCCGGTGACGCTTTCTAGTTCACACTTAGAAACATTTTGACACCTTTGGATTTGAAATTTACATGAACACTCATCTTTCTTCACTTAACTCTTCATTTTATTAGGAAAGGGAGAACACGTATAAGGTATGGTGCGGCAGCGCGACCGAAGATTTCTGCACCATTTTATTGTTTAGAATGTTAGATAATCTGTTAAATGTGTATTTTATAGAGAACCGTTTCCTCTTCCAAGCTGTATGCTTTCAACGATATCATAAAACTTTCTTTTAGACCAGTGTCAAAAAGAAACCAAAGGGTTAGTTTTGAGCGAGCTGTGCAGAAGCGAAATTCGCCCGATCATTTTGCTGCATTAGTCGAAGAGAAAGTGTTCTATTATGATCTAACCTATACAGTTCGATAGAGAAAAAGATTCTCTACAAAATGCACATTTAATAGATTATCTTATATTCGAATCAACGAAATAGTGCAGCCATTTGCGGTTGGAACCAAAAACGTTTTTTGGTCGCGATGCTAGATCCTAGTTTGAAGATGCCTGTGATGACATATAACACAAGAGATAATATATGATAAGTGTATCCTGTATTGAATCGAAACAAATCGAATCTCTACTGTATGTTCCTCGTCCTTTCATAGTTCTCAGTACATACAGTATTACGCTACAGAAAAATATCAAGCTTTATAAATAATATCTAAGATCTATCGCTATCATACAATGAGTTGATGAGCCAGATGATCATGCGATCATAGTCTTTTCAAAACACAGAGAGCAGAAACAGTCGTACATAAGAGTGCGTTTCTGATATCAATATTATATGAATGGTACATAATAAGAAGAAGAGATAAATCTATCAATATCTCTATGTTGGGTATATGGATTAAGAGGCTAATGTCGAAGTTCATATAGGAAGGAAGAAAGCAGATAATTGTTGTATATGAAGAGGAAGAGAAAGAGAGAAGAGGAAAAGTATACAATCATAGATTACCATAATACCAAATATCTATAGTTTGAAACTTAAATTTAACAGTCTACCCTTCCGTTCAATTATTCGAGTATTCGTATACTTGCGAGTGAGTAAAAGGGTTCTGAAGGGACATCATTTCAGTGAGGATGAACAGAAGAGTTTTGAAAGCAGTCGAATATTCCAATAATTGAAAAAAAGACTGCAAAAATAGTTGAATAGTTGAGTCGAAATTTCGAGTTTCGCATCACTAAAAGACGCAAGGATCATAGTAGCTATTCATAGCGGATTGCTGTTTCATGTGTGAAAAATGATCATGAATAATGGACATTACGTAAATAACAAGAACGATGACAGTTGTTTGATTAGTTTTGAAAAAGCTTGAAATTGAGGAGGACCGTTCTCGCGACATCATTTGAAAGCAAAGTTTTATCTGAAGTATAACCCAATCAGTCGAGGGTAATGCGAGTCTCCCTCGACGAGCGTTATTTTATGAATACTATAATCAATATTTTCTCTTATTTCTTTAGCTATCAAATTTTATTCGTCATTTAACAAGTCGAAATCCTTGCATGATGATTCAAGAGAAGTTGAATGATTTTAATTTGACTGCCAATGATGGTATTATTTCTTCATTCGAGAACACAGATGCGTCGGATAATCTAACACAAACGGATTCAAATTCTTATGTACAAGGTCACTTCAAAAACGAAAACGAAACCGAGGAATTCAATCATCGGCAGTGGAAAAGAAGAAATAGCTGTAAACTGTCTTTCAAACAAACAGATTCTATTTATAGTTTAGGTCTCTATTATTTATATTTTAATATTTATATCTTATATTGAGCTGTCTTAATTGTAAAAATGAATCACATGAACTTTTAAAAAATAAAATAATAAAACTTTTGTCTATATAAATATATTTCTCTTCAAAGTACTCCTACACTGTAAAAAAAAGGAGTTTTACCAAAGCAAAAAAGGATCTTCCCACCGATACACGGGACGATCCTTTTTTGGTTAAGTAAAATGAAGGTTCCGAAGAGAACCTTACAGAAAAAACTGAGAACAAAGGTTCCGCAGCAAAGGTCTAGTACGAAACTTTTTCTTCTTCAAAAGACAGAAGGTTCCGTATCATAAGTAGCGTACGGAACCATCTGTAACTAACGAGTGCGGCAGAATAAATGGCCCTCTCTGTATTTTGCGAATATCTTTCTTATAGTTCGACGTGGATACTTGAGTTTTTCCCAATAGATAGCCCGTGAAATTCTCTACAAATCCTGAGGGAAAGAGTTCTTCTAAAGAATCATCGTAAAAGTGTACCAAGTCAATCTTATAATGCCGTAAATCAGTCTACTTTCAAATACGCATTTTATAAAACTAATTATTGTATTTCTTCTAGCTAAATAACTACAAAAATCTGCTTTGATGTATTTCTATTGTATTTTTACACGCGCTTTTTTACATAAAATTGAAAAGAAATTGTTTGAATAGAATTGCGAGTGTCTATCGGTCAGTGTTCCTAAAACGTAAGAAGAAACTATCGGTTCGTTCGGTTCTAAGTCTTAATCATTACAGCAACAAACTTTGTATCATCCTATTCCCATCAAAGTCAGAGAGGAAACATTTTACTTCAATTTTGTAATAAATCTGAATATATAACAATTGCTTATTTCGTGTGTCGAATTCAAAACTACAAGGAACCTTAAAGTAATATATTTTGAATGAAATTAGCGGGAAACAGAGGCCACACTTTTTCCAGCTAAATTGGGAACATATCGAAATGACGTTTGCATCTAGTGATAGAGCATTTCACGGACTATAAATTGCCCTAGCAATCTTTTCTCCATGTGAAAGAAGGAGCTACAGTAGCGGACAAAAGTCTCCACCCACCTATTTCTTTACAAAGAGTGATGATCAAATAAAAACTTTTTTATTATATAGAAGCTAAGAGTCTATCCTGATAACTAATGTAAAATGAAATCACCATCACTTTCAACAACTTCACAGATTCGATTTTTCATACTATCAACAAGTCTTATGGCTAATATCTGTGGTAGGGCTTTCCATTCTCGCTTTATTGCCGAGACCAAAGATTGATAAGTTGTAAATTGTTTTTTCCGTAATTTAATCTTCAAGAGTTGCCAAACGTTCTCAATGGGAGCCAGGTCGGGAGACATTGACGGCCAATCAATTCTTTCGATTCGTTTTTCTTCTCTCCAATTGTTGGCAAGTTTTGACATGTGCTTGGGATCATTGTCTTCTTGCAGTTTCCAGGACGTCGAGTCACGACCAAATTGTTTGTAGGCTGTTGGCAAGAGACCGTGTTTGTAAATGGTACACATGAATCTTGCATCAAGGTTCTGTCGAAAGCAGACGATACGACCGAAGCCCTTACTTGAGAAACACCCCCAAACATTCACCTTTATTGGATACTTGACAGTACGAACGAATTTCTTTTTTCCTGGTAAATTCCAAACTAGTCCTTTCACCGAATTCAGGCGGATAGTGGTCTCGTCAGAAAATATCACTTCGTCCCACTCCATATCCTGATGAGTAAGAGCCCATTCTAAACGTCTTTCTTGATGGTGTTCAGTAAGTAATGGTTTTGAAATTGGCTTATTGTATTTCGCACCAGCTTCATTCAGGCACCGTCGCACGGTTCTCTCGCTCACATTGACTCGTTCCCGCTTCAACTGGTTTGCAATGTCTTGCACCGTGACGAATGTCTGCTGGTCAGCAAGCGAAACAATTCGTTGATCCTGTTCCTGAGTAGCTGTACGTGGACGGCCTGATCGGGGTGAATCATCTAAATCTTTGGATTCGTTCCATCGATTGAGCCAATATTTTACCGTCGAAGTGCTACAATGAACTGCTTTTGCCACATCCGTATGATTGAGCTGTGGACCCAATGGATGCTTGGATAAAAATACAATTTCATAGCGCTTGTGTAGTGGTAAAGCCATATATGAGAAGNTAACAAGATGTTGATCGAAGTCAAGCAACAAGTTCTGATCGAACGCTTGATTTCCGCTCAAGTAAATGAACTGATCGTTTTTAATTGACTCATTCGTGATGAATTTCATTTTGTTTCTTATATAGAAATTCGGAAAGATTTCTACGTCACAATCATGACAAAAGCAACTGCCAATGACTATCAAAAACAAAAACATTCAAGTATTTGAGTAGCAACAAATTACAACATACGTGCTTTGTAATTCCGAGTTAAAGACAAAACTGTCTTTGGACGGTGAGAAAACACTAATTTTAATTCTTTTTTGCATTCGATACAATCATTCGTATATGGTTTCAAGTATAATTCACATACGTCATCAGATTCAGCAACTCTTTGGTTTTGATAATTTTGAATCATTTCATCGAGCGATTGTAGTCGAAACATACGAGCATATGTTGGAGTGATAGAAATAAACTCGATAATCGATCTTATGTCATGTACTTCGTAGGACTTATGATAATGTAGGTTAATTATATTCTTTATATGGTCATATTTATTTTTCAATTCCATAGGAAAAATATTATTCAGCATCATCATGTAAAATATCTCATTCAAATCCATTGACCGTGATAGTAAAATTAAAGTATGTTCCGTATCACTGAGTTCCACCAATGCTACCGATGATGAAGAATAACTTGAATGATTCATTTTGTTCAAATGTCTGGAAACAAAAATAAAAACATTATCAGAGGAGTTATTTCCAATAAAAGATTCTAATGCAACGTCCTTCTTTCGTTTTAATGGTAAAAAGAGCAGGTGAAAGAGTTTTGAAACTTGAAATACACAAAGAAAGTAAAAATCAACGAGAGAATGGCATGGTCTGTTAAGTCATGTTAGGATAAACGAAGATATATTCAGTTCCGTTTGAATTTTCTAGTTTGTGTACGTGTCTGCCGTTCTTCACAATAATTTTGATTAGTGGTAGCTTTTCTTTTTCTATGAACTGGCTGCGAGTAAGTATGTACTAATTCTTCTTTCTCATCATGTTGCTTTTGTATCGATATATTCTGTATGTTGTTGTTTGTTGTGCTTTCGCAATTGTTCAGGTGTGGAATTTGTGATGTTGAGGCCGCTGCTTCGCTTTCAACGCTTATCTCATTCACTATTGAAACGCATGGTCGAAATTGTTGTTCATTCCATCGTACATATTGTTTATAAAAGAAATTCGATTCCATAAGTTGAATAAACTCGTCTGATAAAGTCCAATGATTGGCAGTGAAAACGTTTTCTTGTTGATAAGGATAAAACGATTTTAAATAATCTTCATACGTGACATCAACCTACAAAGTCGAAATAAAATATGTTGAGAAATAACAAGGAGTCTTATGAATGCAAATGTGTTTATTAACCATTTTTTGTAATAACTGAATGAATTCAAGCTTTGCGGCATGCGTATTCGATGTTGGAAAATTTCTACGAAAAAAAAATAATGGTAAATGACAAAGAATGATCCATTTCTTACTTAATCCATCCTCCTCTTAGCATTCGTTTGGCATTTTTTTTTGACGCATTTTTGGAACGACTTGGTTCCACCCAAAAGTGATCTTTATACGTAAGCAATCCTGAATCAACTAAACGTTTTACTCCTTCGAGTCTGATAGTTGGTTTGTTACAGATTTGAGTTAAATCAGTTTTCGTATAGAGAACAGAATTTCCAGTCATTATGCTTCTCATAACTTTCTTTACTGCATGTTCAAATGGATCTGCGTATGTATTCGTTGCTAAAACCAATCAAAGAAAGGAAAATTGTCGGGAAAGGGTAGGTGAAAGACGAACTTTCTTTAATGGTTCGTTGAGTAAATGCATGAGAATTATCAATTTCAATATCATTCGTTTGCTCACATGACATGACTGATGAGTT